ATATCTGTCATAAGACATGACGGCTAAATTACAGATCTCCACATTTCCGTATGTATTCAAAATGAAAACCTGTACAAAACAAGCTGAAGCAGAGACAGTGTGAATGTCAGAGAGGATCTGAAGCAGCAGGAATGGAAACAACCCTGTACTACCATACAGTTCATTTACAAACAGGCTGCACAGAAACATGTACATAGGTTCATGTAAGCTTCTGTTCACACAGATAACCACAATCAGCAGGAGGTTGGAGCAAAGAATCAAAACATACAGAGACATGACAGTCATGAATGATACGTACTCTAGAAGCCCGGAGTCAAAGTAGGGTGAGAGTGTGAAATATGAAAACTTTGTAGAGTTCATCACAATCACTTTCTGTTGGTTCACAGAATAATTACAGTTTGCAAACCATTTGTATCAACTGTTTGACTTCCTGTTATAGAATTTTATACAAGGTTAAATTTGTAATTTAACTGTGAACAGCATTAACAGAAAAACAGTGTTCACTCTATCAGTACAGAAATTAGTTGTCATAAACACAAGTATTGTGAAGCTGCCATTGTCTCATTGAAAATCAACATAAAGCTCAGGTAAGAAATGACAGAGGTGACGTGTGAATTCATCTGCTGCTCTGCTGTGGTGAGACCGAGTCCCTCCTAACTGAGCTGAAAGTTCTGCTGCTGTTTCTTTTCAAACTGTTGACGACAGGAGACGCCCACAGCAGCAGGCTGACATCATCTTTACAGAGCACCCTGATTAAAAAATCTCATAGACAAACATCTCACAAATTAAACCTTATTTTAAAGTTTAGAAGCTGCTAAAGGTGACAAAGAGTTGGTTCTGCTGAAAAAGAATCTGAGAACTTTTCTGAGTTGGTCAGTTGTGATGAAACAGACGTTCCCCGGAGCTCTGACGTTTACGTAGAAAAGATAAAGTAGCTATGCAGAGCCGAGATAATCTGTTTCAGGACACCAGGCAAAAATGGGCTGCTGAGCATCCCCAAAGCATTTCAAACCCATTCTCAATCCAAAGTGGTCACATATTACTGCTTTGCAGTCGCCTTTCACTGCCTTTGCTGTTTACGCTCCGGGACTCTGCAACCAACACCGAGATGTCAACAAAACCAAATGGTTAGGTTTAGAAAAAAAAACATCATGGTTTGGCTCGACATTGAAAGCGAACATCAGCCTCCTGAGTGAAAGCCTGGGGTTTGTTGGGCCCATACACCTCCCCTCCCAGCCTCCCTTTCAAGCTCCATATATTTTGCTGTTACCAGCAACATTTCTTACGTAAATTGCTGTATCATACCACCACGACAGGTGCTGTCCCAAGCCAGTCTCACTCTGCAGTCATCGAAAACCGGCATCAGACACCAACGATGAAAGCTGTCCTTTCACCTCGGCATGGTTGACGGCCAGTCGCTGTCATTGTTTAATGGCGGCCAGCGGCGTCAGGAGGAAACACAGCGGGACAACAACGAAAGTTAAGGTGGGGGAAGTCTGATTAGTTTGGGTTGGGACGGGTGGTGGATGGGTCCAACAACCACCGACTTTCACCCAGGAGGCCTGTGTTCACTTCCTGTAAGATTGTAAAGCCAAACCCTGTTCTTTTTTACTAAACCCAACCACACGTGTGTGTGTTGGCTAAACGTAACCACGTGTGTGTGTGTTGGCTAAACGTAACCACGTGTGTGTCTGTTGGCTAAACGTAACCACGTGTGTGTGTTGGCTAAACGTAACCACGTGTGTGTGTTGGCTAAACGTAACCACGTGTATGTGTCTCAAAACGTAACCACGTGTATGTGTCGGTAAATGTAACCACGTGTGTGTTTTGGCTAAACGTAACCACGTGTGTGTGTCAGTAAATGTAACCACGTGTGTGTCGGTAAATGTAACCACGTGTGTGCCTGTTGGCTAAACGTAACCACGTGTATGTGTCGGTAAATGTGACCACGTGTGTGTGTTGGCTAAACGTAACCACGTGTATGTGTCGGTAAATGTAACCACGTGTGTGTGTTGGCTAAACGTAACCACGTGTATGTGTTGAAGGAAAAAAACATCAGTCGGTGGTGTTGTGCCAACATAGTGCTTTTATTTTGAAAGAGACTGTATGCAAACTGTACATTTCCTGTGAAAACAGAAGTGTATTTTGAAAACAGACAATGCATGTAACAGGCTGAAGTTGACACGGCGTCCCAGAACGTCAACAACCAACACACCCAGGGTACCTTGGACGTCATATGTGGACGTGGAAAGTCCATGACCAAACGTGGACAGGTGACGGGTTTAGGAAAACAGAACAGGGTTTGGCTTTACAGTCTTACAGGAAGTGATCACTGTGCTGCCCTCCTCGGACTTCTGCCACCTTAACTTTTGTTGTCCCGCCACATTCTCCCCTGACGCCATTATAGTTCAATGGCTATGTATCATGCCGCCATGTAAGGATGGCTTTTTCATTGGTGTCTGACATTGGAAGTCACTGACCAAGCGCTGGTATTCAACAATGTCACAATGGAGTGTAGAAAGTTTTTTTTTTTTTTTCAGACAATGAGTTTTTAAGGAGATGTACTTTACCTTTTGACATGTTTCGATTGTCACTGCAGTCTTCTTCAGAAGCGTCATCTGACGTGCGTCATGACGTGTCTTTATTAGCTGGTAGTATCCCGGAGGTGTGACCAGTTTGCAAACTTTGTGTCTGCCTGGCACGAACTTGTCTGGTGTCTTCTACCATTTAGAGGACTTTATGTGTCTTCCTGGATCAGGCCACATGTAGAGAGCTGGGCTGTAGCTCCTGCGGGGAGCTGAGTTGAGAAAAAGCAGGGAAAGGTCTCAGCAGGTCCTCCAGCACCTACGACTCTCCTCTGAGGAGGTTCCAGGAGAAAAAGAGCAGAAAGATTCTTCTTATTGTCAGCTTGATGACATCACAGAGTCCCATCCCTCAGTGACCAATGGTGAGAGACAGGCCAAGTTGTGATATTCAATCATTCATTTTCCATAACCACTTAGGCATTGGAGGAGAGCTGAAGTCTATCCCAGGCGGGGTTCACCCTGGACAGGTCACCAGACTATCACAGGACTGACACATAGAGACAGACAACCATTCACACTCACATTCACACCTACGGACAATTTAGAGTCACCAATTAACCTGCATGTATTTGGACTGTGGGAGGAAGCTGGAGCACCTGGAGGAAACCCACACTGACACAGGGAGAACATGTCAGAGCACCTGGAGGAAACCCACACTGACACAGGGAGAACATGTCAGAGCACCTGGAGGAAACCCACGCTGACACAGGGAGAACATGTCAGAGCACCTGGAGGAAACCCACGCTGACACAGGGAGAACATGCAAACTCCCCCACCCTAAGGTTCAAACCATTAACCCTCTTGCTGTGAGGCGACAATGCTAACCACTGCACTGCTGTGTTGCCAAGTTTTCACATATAGTGAGTGAAAAAACCGAGGACTCTTGGAAAATGAGTTCATTTGGCTGTCCTTTTTTGAGGATCAAAGGAGGCTACAGTTGCCCTTTGGAGTGGGCTGAACTTACAGGACATGTCTTACATGTCCAGTTTAGACATGCACAAATAACCAAATCATCTGTGAAGTCTGGTGGTTTTTGTGGATGGAAACAATGTGGCTGTTCTTCTTCTGTTAGACTTTAGTGCATCATTTGTTACTGTTGTCCAAACTATTTCAATAGACAGACTTAAAAAATGGGTCCGTCTCTCTGACAGTGTGTTAGCTTGGTTTAAGTTGTATTTAACTGACAGCCTGGGTGCTCATGTATCAGAGACTTATAGTATTAAATGTGGTGTTCCTCAAGGAAGCATTTTTGACCCAATTTTGTTTTCATTGTATCTGCTTCCCCTTGCTCTCTCTATATTTTTAAAAGTAAATTAAAGATCTATCTTTTTAATCTTTCTTTTTTAATGTGGAGTAACATTACAGTCTTGACTTTTAAGTTTAACCATTGTTTTTTTGTTTTGTGTTTTTACCTTATTTTATCTCTCCTGTTTATTTTTATTCTGTTTCATTTATTTACCTTCTCTTTATTCTATGGACTTTTAATAATCTTTTTTGTTACTTAGTTCTTTTCTGTTTAGTTTGCGTTTGTTTTTTAAATAATTTTATTGTGTTATTGTTGTAATTTTCTAGTCTTTCAAAACTTTATGTTCAGTTTTTTGTGGTATCCTTTAAATTGTGTCTGTGTCATTCCAGTTTTGCCATGTGAAGCCCTTTGGGCTGCATGTTAGTATGAAAGGTGCTGTGTAAAGAGAGTTTAGTTGAGTGGTCCCAACAAATGCCAACATGTTCTTCTGCAGCTGGGCTGGAAACAATCACCATTTGAATAATTGTAGTGATTCTCAGTGAATCAAAAGATTCAAACCAATGTTTTAGGTTTTTTTTTTTATTTAGAACTTGTATTAATTACAATTAATAATGCATAGACAGAACATGCTTGTTGAGAGCTGTCGGTGAAATTGCACTCAGGGAATATACACACAAAGCATCTGATGGATTTGAAACAGACAGATGTTTAGATTATATTTTGGAGAATTATACCTGAGTACAGAGATCAAAGAAGTGGCCTCCTTTTTCTCTGAGTGAGAAAAAAGTCTGTGGTTATTTGTGCTTACAGGAGATCACAGAGGTCTAACAGGATTGGTTACTGCTGACATTATGTCACTGACCTTTCCCAAAACAGCACAAACAACAAGCTTCAACTCATTTCATGTGAAATACAGTGGTTTCAGCATTATGCCTCCATCATGTAACATGGCTCACTGTGGAATAATATTTGCATAAGGCCCAGACACTGGTCCTGATTCATAGTTTAAAACATGAGGTTGAGGTTTGAGCTCTTGCTGACAGAGCAACGCTATCAGTAATGCTACCATTAATGATTTATGCTGATTTAGTTCCACAATTGTTTTAATATATCAATTTCCATTCTGTTCTTTTCATAGTACAGAATTTGAGATTTATGATGTCAGGAGCCTAAATTTTCCCAAACATGAGATTTTTAAATATGATGCGAATTTTGGTTAAATTCAGTCCGTACAGTACAGGGTTGAAGAGCGGCTGGCATGTGAGCCAGTATAATGATAAAAACATGCGCAACATATCAGGTAAATGTTTCATATCAAATCTGCTTGACACTATTTCAAAGAAAGCCCCGAAAGAGAAGTTGAGCAGAGAGGCGAGGTGAGGTGTGCAGGTGCTGACGGCTTTCTGTCTCGTCTGTTTAGAACCAGAGAAACAAACTTTAAGGATCCTGATATAAGAATAAAATATTAAAATTACAACACAAATTGTTGCAGTTGTGTAAATCATCCCATAGACGTTATTGACTGTTGTGTCAGAGCAGGCCAGTTTGACAACAGAGTAGTTGTCACAGTACACTTTGTTAATGATGTTCCCACACAGCTGCAGAGAGGCACTCAATGATATCAAGACAATGACTGCAAGAAAAGGGTATAACCATGTTAGAGCGATGAGTATGACGGTCCTGTTGTGGGTCATATGCATGTTATATTGTAGAGGACAACAGATAGCAAGATATCTGTCATAAGACATGACGGCTAAATTACAGATCTCCACATTTGCATATGTGTACACACAGAAAATCTGCAGGAAACAAGCTGAAGCAGAGACAGTGTGAATGTCAGAGAGGATCTGAAGCAGCAGGAATGGAAACAACCCTGTACTACCATACAGTTCATTTACAAACAGGCTGCACAGAAACATGTACATAGGTTCATGTAAGCTTCTGTTCACACAGATAACCACAATCAGCAGGAGGTTGGAGCAAAGAATCAAAACATACAGAGACATGACAGTCATGAATGATACGTACTCTAGAAGCCCGGAGTCAAAGTAGGGTGAGAGTGTGAAATATGAAAACTTTGTAGAGTTCATCACAATCACTTTCTGTTGGTTCACAGAATAATTACAGTTTGCAAACCATTTGTATCAACTGTTTGACTTCCTGTTATAGAATTTTATACAAGGTTAAATTTGTAATTTAACTGTGAACAGCATTAACAGAAAAACAGTGTTCACTCTATCAGTACAGAAATTAGTTGTCATAAACACAAGTATTGTGAAGCTGCCATTGTCTCATTGAAAATCAACATAAAGCTCAGGTAAGAAATGACAGAGGTGACGTGTGAATTCATCTGCTGCTCTGCTGTGGTGAGACCGAGTCCCTCCTAACTGAGCTGAAAGTTCTGCTGCTGTTTCTTTTCAAACTGTTGACGACAGGAGACGCCCACAGCAGCAGGCTGACATCATCTTTACAGAGCACCCTGATTAAAAAATCTCATAGACAAACATCTCACAAATTAAACCTTATTTTAAAGTTTAGAAGCTGCTAAAGGTGACAAAGAGTTGGTTCTGCTGAAAAAGAATCTGAGA